CTGTCTCACCTGTCCTACCTGTCTCCCTCTCACCTGTCCTACCTGTCTCCCTCTCACCTGTGCTACCTGTCTCCCTCTCACCTGTCCTACCCGTCTCACCTGTCCTACCTGTCTCCCTCTCACCTGTCCTACCCGTCTCCCTCTCACCTGTCCTATCCGTCTCACCTGTCCTCCCCGTCTCCCTCTCACCTGTCCTCCGTGTCTCACCTGTCCTACCTGTCTCCCTCTCACCTGTCCTACCCGTCTCACCTTTCCTACCCGTCTCCCTCTCACCTGTCCTATCCGTCTCACCTGTTCTCCGTGTCTCACCTGTCCTACCCGTCTCCCTCTCACCTGTCCTCCGTGTCTCACCTGTCCTACCCGTCTCCCTCTCACCTGTCCTCCCCGTCTCCCTCTCACCTGTCCTACCCGTCTGTCTCCCTGCCAGCGAACAGAGAAGGGTTGGAGGGAGGTTCTGGTGGACATCGACCCTGCAGATCCAGACCGGCTGCGGTTTGTCATGGCTCCAACTCCGACGCTCGCCTCGTCCACGCTTGTCCAGGTGTGTACAGAGCATGACTCACCTAGAGTCGTTTCCCCTGCTGGATAAACTGGTTTGAGACCAGTTTCAGACTGGACCAGCTGAGAGCAGAGCTGCATTGATCCCTGTGTGTGTTTTGTAGCAGCTGATGTATTTACCAACCTTCTGAGGACCTACAGGCCTCATGGAGACGTAGCCCTAATGTGGGGGACCCCAAATTCACCTGAGAGTCAGTTTAGAGGAATAACTTTAGGTAAAGATTAGGGTTAGGAATAGACAGGTGTTAGTTAGGGTCAGGGTAAAGGTCAAAGGTTAGGGTTAAGGTTTATCATTAAAATCTTCCAGATTTTTGGAGCCTAAAAGGAAAAGGAAAATTTCATCCTTTTTCCTCAGTTATCCCTCAACTTATCTGAAATAAAGTTCATTTCAAATTGACTTTTAGTTCATTTACTGTTTTTACTGAACTTCTTGTTTTAAAAATAGGATTTAAAATCCTAATCCACAAGCATCATCCTTCACATTTTCCCCTAAAGTTTCACGTTATGTTTACATTATTTATTGGCTGCATCTAAAAATATCAAAGATATTTTCAATTTAAACACATGTATGAAATAATACAATAAAACCTAGAATAATTTAAATGACATCATTGTTCTAGGTCATCAATTCAGATCAATTCTGTCCAATCAGCTGCCTGTAGTGTCTTTAAATGTCCAGCAGGGGTCAGTATTCTGTGTAACAAGAGGCCTCATTAACCATCGCTACATAAAAGCAATAAATAAAATGAATGGGTGTGTGTGTGTGTGTGTGTGTGTGATCAGGCCGAGGAGCGGCGGGACCACGTGGAGGTGTGTGCGGAGGGCGGAGTCATCGTCCAGCAGCTGGCTCGGCGGATCCAGGAGGAGGGCGGGGCGGCTCTGATCGCCGATTACGGCCACGACGGAACCAAGACCGACACGTTCCGGGTACGAACTGCTTTTATCGGCCTGCGCTCCGGTCCTTTAAGGTCTGAGGCGGGTCCAGCAGACCTCCTGAAGCCCAGAACCAGGTTCTAACCTTCAGGCTCGGTTCTGTTTGCCCCGCAGGGATTTAAGGGCCACCGGCTCCATGACGTCCTGTTGGCTCCCGGCTCCGCTGACCTCACAGCCGACGTCGACTTCAGCTTCCTGCGGAGGATGGCCGGAGGGGGCGTGGCCTGTTTGGGGCCGGTGAGTCAGAGGAGCTTCCTGAGGAACATGGGCATCGACGCGCGCATGCAGGTGGGTCTCCTACGGGATGTTCTGCTGTTAGAACCTTAGAACCTCTGGACCAGAACCAGGTGAAGTTCTGCTCCTGATCCGGTTCTTTGCAGGTTCTACTGAGGAACTGCAGCGACCCGTCCGTCAGGAAGCAGCTCATCAGCAGCTACGACATGCTGACCAACCCGGCCAAGATGGGCGAACGCTTCCAGTTCTTCAGCCTGCTGCACCGCGCCCGCCTCGCCGCACCCAAGACGCCAGAGGGGCTGAAGCTGGAGAAGAAGAGCCCGGCGCCGCTGCCTGTGGCCGGGTTCACCGAGCTCAGCCTCTCCTGAGGCCAGGGAGAACCGGAGGTCCTGGTTATGGGTCAGAACCCAGAACCAGAAAGGATGGACGAGGTTCTGCTTCTGGACCAAACGCTGCGGATGGCGGCGGTAGAAACGGTCACGAAGCTTTCATTGACGTGTTTAGCTTCCGTAACGGGTCAGAACCGAGCGCCGCTCCGTGGGCTGCAGACTGAACACAAACCAGTGATCCCAGTTCAGCTTTTATTTCCACCATTCAGAACAAGAGAGACGATTTTCTGCTACAAAAATATAAAAATTCTCAGATTTCAGCTTAGAGTCCGAAAGAAGCAGCAGCAGTTAGATTCTCAGCGAGGCGACCGACCTGGCGGCCGGTCTGGCTAACGGCGCTCACAGCTCCGCTCAGACCGACCCAAACGGATCAGGAAGGGTTCTGGGAAGGAGCGGATTTGATGAAGATGCATGATTCTTTCTGCCATTTTCTTTTCCTTTAAAGGTTAACCGCCTCAGCTTTCTTCTCTTGTTTAAAACATTTATTTTTTTCTTTTGGGTTTGAATAAAATCTGCTGCTAAAACAGGAAGTGAACTCCTGGATTATTAAAACACGGCCTGATTAATCCCAGCAGCAGGGAATTAATCAGCAGAGTGGTTCCTGAGTCTGGATGATTAATTTTAGGTGAAGCTGTGAACGCCATTAGTGGCTCAATGAAACAGATTAAATCCAGTTTGTTTTTGAAGCCTGAAGGGGGCGCTGTTGAAGAAGGAAAAACTCCACCCTGATGCTTCTGCCTGATGCTTCTGCATGACAAGAAATCCATTGTTTTCATCATTAAAACATTAAAACAGAACCAGAACTCTTGATTCTGGGGTTTAATGAGCGGCTAAAAAAGCTCCTGAAGTCGGTTCCGTTTTTCCAGAACCGAAGTTTCCTTTATGGCTTTCAGACAGAAGAGAGTTCTGTGGACCAGTCGTCATGGCAACCGCCTCCTCTAGGGGTCCTCGTCCATGTCGTCCAGGTTGGGGGACATGATGAAGTGGGTGGGGTAGTGGAGCCCCTGCTCGTCGGCGTGCTCCTCCCAGCGCGCGTCGTCGCTCTCGTGGGTGATGTAGCGCTCGCCCCGACGCGTCTCGAACTCCCGGAGGTCCAGCCAGGTCTGGTAGTCCTGCAGAACCGGGACAGGGACACGGCATGAGCTCCACCTGAACATCCGCTCGCAGGTTTTTATTCATCCCAGTCCGGTTTAGAGACGCCGGAGATTTAAAGAGAAAGGAACCTTCTCTCTCCCTGTAGTTTCTGACCTTCAACCAATAAGAGCTTCTTTCCTTCTACGTGTTTCATCACTTTTATTCACTGGATTGCTGATTGGCCGAAAAAAGTGAAGCCATCATCAGCCATGTTGGTACTCCCCACTCCCACAGTGGCAGTAAAACTCCTCCTTGTGCAGCATTTGGCTGCTAAAACCAGCAGTTTTCTGTCTGCAGTAAGACGTTCCACTGGTAATTTTCCAGTCAGTGGATGAACTAAGCAATAAATCCATCTATAGCCGATGGATCCTATAGTTTAGTCTGCAGACTAACATTAGTCTGGCTATCTCAGACTGACTGGAAGACATTGACTGAGTTAGAATATAGATGAAAATGGAAAGTCATTCACTGGGAAATGTTAATGTATTTTATATTTTTAATTTTATAGTGATGGTTTTGTATATTAGGTTATATTACATGATTTATAGACTTCATAATGATGCAATGAGATGGGTTAAAGTAAGTTAAAGTTAATCTACTGATGCTATGAATCAGCCAGTCTGTGTTAAAGTGATGAATTTATCTTTATTTTAAAAGTCTTCAGTCCCTGAAAATGAGAACATCATCGTTGTTTGATGCCGTAGCGCACGGTTTGTTTACATTGAGACCGGTCTAACTAGGGAGTACCAATATGGCGGCCGGTGGCTTCACTTCAACCACATGCTAACAGCAGTAATCAGCAATCCAGGGAATAAATAGAGATCAGTGGATTCCATGGCAGCTTTTAGATACGAACAACTTCCTGTTTACTCACCCAGATGGTGAAATGCCTTCAGGATGTGTTCCCAAAAAAAAAAAGAAATCCTTAAACCTTAACCCTAAAATGCCAAATGTATCATATTTGATACAGTTTCTAAAATGTTTTGCGTCTGACACCTTTTGCATAATTTAATGGTAAAAACTTTGCTCTAAATCCTATTTTACACAATCAGATATACCTGATAACAGCCAGTAGAAGACTACAGAAAAAATAATCTGGACTTATCGCATAGTAATAAATTATTAATATCAAAAATTAATTTCTGTTTTTTCTTTTTACATATTTTGTTAAAAGGCTAAATAAGGACTTCAGACCAAAAAAAAGTCATTTTCCGTTTTGTTTTATTCTTGGATCGGGCTTTAAAGGGTTAACATCAGCTTAACAGGGAAATTTAGAGCGCCCTCTAGAGCCGGGAGGAATCCTGAACAGGTCTCACCAGCAGAATTTAACGATGCGATTAAAACATGTTTTAAGGATAACTTAACATTAAAGTAACCAGGTTTCTTCAAAAGGCTCGATCAGTTTTAGTATCTGGGATGAAAGATTTAAGGCGTTTTAAAGGAAAAGTTCTTTAAATCTGAAATGATTCCATCCTGTTCAATAAATGATCAGTGTTTTTAATTCAGAGTAATTTTCATGTGAATGTGCTTTACTGGAGGCATCCATGTTTGTCAAAGAACACTACTGCCACCTACTGGTTAGTGACATTGTCACGGTGCGGTATCGGCTGTTGATCAAGTCCCAGTGCTGTATCTGGTGTTTGTCACAACGCGCTATTATCCAAGTCATCTTGAAAACATTCTTCTTCCAAATGTTGGCTACATATTACGGGTTTTTTCTCTGGCCAGAAGTTCGATGGCAAATCCTCCCTCTTCAAGTTGGCAATCCAACGACCAACCCGTCCGTGGAGGATCAGGAATATATTTGGACAAAAATGGCCGCTCCCAGACTCAGTGATCGCAATGAAAATTAGTTTTAGGTATAAATAATGATCCATTGATTATTCCTTGCTGACTGAATTTCTCCTTTAACTAACCTCACATTTAAACCAGAGGAAACAGAAGCGCCTACAGAGGTTCTGATGAAGGACAGGAGACACTCAGAGATCCTGGCGACTTGTTACCTGCAACCAGGGGTGGCTGAGCGACTTGTCCACGCTGAAACGCTTCCTCATCTTCACCTGCAGCAGGTTGTTGATCAGGTCTTTGGCTGTGGAGAAAACCCAGGAGATGCGTGAGGCAGAGGGAGGTTCTGATGTTTACATGAGGGAGCGGGAGACGGAGGACGGCATGGCTGGAGTCACCTGACCCAGTTATCATTTTAAACCATTTAGAGCTTCGTTTTCTAGAATCCATAGTGTTTTTATAGCAACATTAAAGGCAGCATGTTTAATCCAGCTCAAATCACCAGATGGCATCATAACAACCAAACATTAAACTAACTTCCCCGTCATTATAACAGTCTATGGAAATCTAATTAGAACTTAATTTGATTTAAATGACTATAAAGTTTGAGGATCTGCAGGATGAAAAAGAAAGAGACTCGGATGAGTGGAACGTCGACAGGAAACCAAGGAGGATAATCTCTGATAATCTACCTGCAAAAAATGGAAATCTAAGTAATCTGTTCTTAAAATAAGAGAATTTTTTCTTGAATTGCGGAGATAAGTGAGACACTTTGCCAATAGAGCGACACAATTTACCTTTAAGAAAACACAACTGCATTGTTTTATTTCAAGCTCATCTAATTATCTTATTTTAAGATAAAAAAAATACTCATTTATTGCTTAATCATATTATTTACCTGCTCAGATTAAGGATAAATACACTTTATTTAAGAAATATTGACATATTTCTATAAGGTTTTTGCAGTGTTCTCACTTTATTTCCCGGACCTGCTTCTCAGTCTAAATAAAATATAAACTAACTCCAACTAACTGGATTTTTTTTTTAATTCTGGGCGTATACATAGAGTAGCGAGTCCAGAACTTCTGTCCAACAGCAGCCTTTCCTCCTGTGAACCCCCTTTATACCAAAACGCTGCCAATACGCCATTATACAGTAGCTGGAAGTTAGAAACACGTTCAGCGCTCGTCTGGAACACGTCAGATACCTTAATATTTGTTGGAGAGAAGTTCTGGATATGTTACGCAGAAGTTATGCACATGTCTGATCCAAGATGGCCGCCCTACCTTCCTCTGAGATCTCCTTCCAGGGGTTGGGTGGGTACATGAAGGCAGCGTTCTGGATCTGGTCGTTGATGTCCTCGTCCTCGTTGAAGGGGAAGGTGCCGCTCAGGCTGACGTAGACGATCACGCCCACGGACCACATGTCCAGCGAGCGGTTGTAGCCTTTACTGCGGAGAACCTCCGGGGCCAGGTAGGCCGGGGTACCGACCACCGAGCGGCGGAACGACTTCTCCCCGATGATTCGAGCGAAGCCGAAGTCGCACAGCTTCACCTGGAGAACGAGAGGACGTTGGTTTAGGTGGGTTCTGCCGGGTTCTGATGCGCCGAACATTCAAAGCGGCCGTCGGGTTCTGACCTGAGGGAACGGCTCGGCTGAGGCCAGCAGAACGTTCTCAGGCTTCAGGTCGCAGTGGACGATGTTCTTGAAGTGAAGATGCCTGAGAGCCACCAGGATCTGTGGAGAAAACCGGGACTCGGCGTCAGGTCCGGGTCAGGCACTAAGTATTCACAACCCTGGCAGTAATACTGGTGGGAAGTTCTGGCTTGGTTCTGAACCTATGAAGGTAGCTGGCTGCCCGCCTGGTTTCTATGGCGACAACAACAATGTTTCCATCTTTTAATAAAAAGGAAAAAAAGCATTTAAACTGTTTTCCAGACCGGAACCCAAACTGGACCCACCGGGGGGGTGAATACTTCTGGCCTTAGCTGTGAACCCGTCTATGAAGGATCCTAACCATGCCGCCTCACAGCAGGGAGTCACTTTGGACCTTTTTAGGGTTTCGACTCATTTAACTGGTTTATTCCAGTAAAACAAAGCTGAAATTCCTGGATCAGAACCAGATCCAGGTGGAACAGAACTCTAGATCATCTGGATCTAGATCTACCCCATTCTACATCCTCTGTTCTTCAACAGCCAGCCGCCTCTAGAACCTGATTTAGAACCAATTGTTCCAGAACCAAACTGGATTCTTTTCTGGGAACCAGAGGATGTCGGACTGGGAGCCTCAGAGGAACATATCCATCCTCCCATCAGCAGAAACATCTACAGCTTCAGTGGTTCTGAATGAACAGGCCCGAGGCCCAGATGTTCCAGCTGTTGGTTGGTTCTGCTTCCTTGTTCCGGATGGTTCCGCCTACCTGGGTCACCAGGAACTTGGTGAGGCGTTCAGGCAGTCGGCTCTTCTCGCTGGATAAGATCATCTCCAGCATGTCGCCGTGAAGCTTCTCCATGACCACATACACCTGCTCAGGTGTCTCAAACATGCAGTCCAGGTTGACAATGCCAGGATGGTGGAGGTTCTGTGGGAAGCAGGACAAGAAGCAGACCTTCGTCAGAGAGGAATCCTGAAGGAGAGCGCTAGTCGTGTTGGACAAGTCCTACCTGCAGGATGGCCACCTCGTTCCTCAGCTGGCTCTCCTGCTTGGTGGGGAACCGCATCTTATCAATGATTTTGATCGCCACGTCCCGGCCGGTCTTCCTGTGTTTCCCTGCAGAACACGAGGAGAACTGGGTCAGTTTCCAGGGGCAACAGCCACTTATGGAGACGTAAGGAAAGTCTCACCTCCATAAACGATGCCAAACTGTCCCGATCCCAGAACGTCATCAGCAAAGATCTGATACACTGAGCTGATGTCCTGCACAGAGTCAGAACTGGGTCAGAACCTGGCGCTGCTCATCAGAACCTTGAGAATAGCACCAAAGACTGTCGGATGACTTACCACGTTCTCCTGGATCTGGGAGTTGGACACGGATATGCTGACAGCCAGCTCCTCTGAGAGAACAACGACAGAGAACGTTAGAACCCGACCCGACCCTATTTGAAAACAAATGATGCAAAGAGCAGTTTTGTCAAATTAGCGCCAGGGAGTTAGCTAGGGAATACCAATATGGCCGCCAGTGGCTTCAATTCCACCTTGTACTACCAACAGGCAATCCAGTGAATAAACAGAGATCAGTGGTCATGCCCCCACCATCCCTTCCAGTCCATTTCATTTCCTTCCTGGATCTTCCCCGTTTCCTTCCTATCTTTTCCCGTTTCCCTCCTATCTCTTCCCGTTTCCTTCCTGTCTCTTCCCGTTTCCCTCCTGTCTCTTCCCGTTTCCTTCCTGTCTCTTTCCATTTCCTTCCTGTCTCTTTCCGTTTCCTTCCTGTCTCTTCCCGTTTCCTTCCTGTCTCTTCCCGTTTCCTTCCTGTCTTTTCCCGTTTCCTTCCTGTCTCTTCCCGTTTCCTTCCTGTCTGTTCCCGTTTCCCTCCTATCTTTTCCCGTTTCCCTCCTGTCTCTTCCCGTTTCCTCCCTGTCTCTTCCCGTTTCCCTCCTGTCTCTTCCCGTTTCCTGTCTCTCCCCGTTTCCTTCCTGTCTTTTCCCGTTTCCTCCCTGTCTCTCCCCGTTTCCTCCCTGTCTCTTCCCATTTCCTTCCTGTCTGTTCCCGTTTCCCTCCTGTCTGTTCCCGTTTCCTCCCTGTCTGTTCCCGTTTCCTTCCTGTCTGTTCCCGTTTCCTCCCTGTCTCTCCCCGTTTCCTCCCTGTCTCTTCCCATTTCCTTCCTGTCTCTCCCCGTTTCCTTCCTGTCTCTCCCCGTTTCCTCCCTGTCTCTTCCCATTTCCTTCCTGTCTCTCCCCGTTTCCTC